AATAGTTGCATAACAACTTCTTCAGGATTTCATACCTTTATTTTCAATAATTGAGAATGAAAGAAGATCTTTGCAGCACATTAAAGGCAATTGATATCCGAGTTTTTCTTTCAGTTGTGAAGAACCTGTTGTATCACGATTACGTGCAAACATTCAAACGATATGTTTATTTGTTTTCTTTATTGCTTGTGCCTCTGTTATTTGATACATTGCCAACAAATGGTTTCGCATATTTCCTGTACCACTTGTTGCACACTATAAGTACCAATTTGTCTTCGAACTGAAGAAAAATTTGCATCAGGATATTCTTCTTTTATATTTTCAAAGCACACTTTGCAATAAATTCGATCAAGATCTAATGCTTCCCTTGCATTTTTGTATAAATGTCCAAAATAATTCCAGATAAATGAAGGTCTTGGTACATTGGGTAGTTGTATATGAATAAAAAGAGTTTTATTTAAATCATCAATTTTATCTAGGTCAAGTGGCATATTGATCTATGATTAAAAGAACCACTACTATAATTAGAACAGATAAATAACAACACTAATATTAACAATAAGTAATACTCACCAATAAAGAAAAATAAATAAATAACAACACCAACAATATTGATAAGTGAAAATCAAAATCAAAACCAAACAGAAACAAATAAACAACAACACCAATATTATCGATAAATAAAAAACACTACCGAAGAAAAATAGATAAATGACAACATCAGTATTATCGGTAAAAACCACCAGTAAAAAATAATAGATAAATAGCAATATCAATATTATCAATAAGTAACACTGACAACTATAGTTAAAAGAAATAAATAACAACACCAGTATCAGTGATAAATAAAAATCACCACTAAAGAAAAATAGATAAATAACAACACTGATATTATCGATAAATAAAAACTTTCTGGGAATATCGATGGTTAGAAGAATATCTGGATCAGTAACAGTTATTTATTTTTTTTACTTCTAACACACAATTTCTCTTTCTCATCACTCTATGCACAACATACATGACTGGTTACAAAGTTGACTGATGAAAATAACGTAAAGATTTTCGATCGTGTATATATAGATGTCAGCGGCGGCAGCGTGTGTTATTAAAAATTTTTTTTCGTGACAGCGGTGCAGCGGTTGATTTTGATTTTTTGACGGCGGCGGCTGCTGAGAAATTTTTAAAATCACTTATGATTTAGTGACGGCGGCGGCTCAGCTGGATAGCTTACACCTCTACTCGCAGAAGAAGTGATCCAAAAGCAGAATATTTACGTGTACCTTCACGAATCCGATCCTTACATAGATAACAGCGAACTATTGGTTCTCAAGGCATAATGAAATACACATTTCCAAATAATATAATGTAATCACGAATGTATGCACTCTTTTCACTTTAACAACAAACGCTCTTATGAAAAATCACCGACACAATAACAATTACGTGTGGCACATACTATTTTTTCAAACGTATTTTATCTATTCATGTTGGGCTGCAGCTTTATCAATTTTCTTTCATTTCTTTCATTCCTTGATTCTTATCAACTATTCGTATATGTATAGTTATCCTATGAAAAGGAGAAAAACATTACCTATTAATCCATATAGTTACCCACGACATTCACATAATTTTTACTGTATGTTCCAAGATTCTTTTCCGGCCTACCTCTTTTCCAGTTGATATCTATAGAGTTTTGTAGCGCGTGAAAAGAGCTATCGAATGACCTATAATGGATGTTGACTCTCAAGATTTATTTCAGAGATATGAGTGAAATATGTCAAAGTACTCATGAAATTCATACAATTTTTACTGTATGTTCCAAGACTTTTCTTTGGTTCACCTTTTTTGCGATTAACATGTATATGGTTTTGCAGCCCATGAAAAGCGCTATCGAATGGTCTATAATTGATGTTGGCTCTCAAGATTTATTAGGGACATATGAGGTGAAGTATGTCAAAGTACTCATGAAATTCATATATCTTTTGCTGTATGTTCCAGGATTTTGTTTTTGGCCCACTTTTTTTACATTTAAAAACCATAGGGTTTTGTAGCGCGTGAAAAGCGCAATCGAATGAGCTATAATTGAAGCTGGCTCTCATGGACTTATATATAGAAAATTGTTATGAAAGACAAACATGTCATCACTATATACTGTTAATAGGACCATTCGAAGTTTTGAAACTCGTCAAAACGATATGTTGAGAGACCGTCTTACGGGTAAAAATGGTACCTGATATCAAGGCTATCATATTCATTTCGAACTGCTTACTATCCTCTAAATATTTATTTTCAGAAGAGCTAAATATCACATATGTACAGTATCAGTCCTAAGGATTAATTTCCTATATTTTTAGTATCGACTAACGATTGAGGAAGTTCTCGAATATAGTCGAAATATACTTCAGATCTAGTCCTAATATACTCGGTGATGAAAACTCTTTAATTCTAAATAAGATTCTACTGAGTAATATGCAAAAATCCTCAGTGGGCCAAATCACGTTCTTATGCGCTCCCGTTCTATTTTTTTTTATTTCTCATATAAAGAAAGTGCGTCTTATTTTTTTTGTGTACGGCAGTAAATCCAGTAGGTACCCACTGATATATAATATGGAAGCTTGAGCTTCTCTCTGACCAGAATCCTCGCATTGATCGATAAGCTATTGTCAATGAATCCATAATATTTTGTGTATTGTATATGACGATTAAGAAAAAACCCAAATGCAACCATTGTATTGTATACATCTTTACAAATATTTTTCTTTTGTTTTATTTTACTCTTAACTGACGTCCATTTTGTTGCTTGTTACAGTAGATCTGTCGAGAGAAGAAAAATATCGTTTATAGAGAAAAGAAAAACCTGAGAGAGAATAAATTGTAGACAATTTAGACAAGAGTAAGAGGCACATATTTATGACTATTCGATTCGCTCTCTCACAAGCTGCTCGAATAATGTATCCCAAAATAAGCACAACCATGATTATGAGCTAGCTAACAAAGACCCGAATAGATTGGGTCAAGCCCAGCTCAACCCAACCATGGAACGTATTTTTCTGCGACAAGAAAACCATGGATGGGCTGAATTCTGAATAAAATATAAAATTTTCGAAGGATGTCGCTTATTATCACTATAAAAATTTTCTTTTCGAAAAAATCTAACGTGATTCTTTTATTGGTTCAAACATTTCTCCAATGAAGAGTGAACATCTATATGTTGTGAATTCGTCTAGTCTGTTTGGGATCAAATACACATATGTCTGTTCATGTTATAAAATTTTGTTTTTCTTCAACAAAATGTCGTTATCCGGTTCTTCTCTTTCATCAAAAATTGCACCACCAAAAAATGACCATTTCTGTTTCGAACGATATTTCTACTAATTCTGCTCAACCATCAATCCCTATTACCAATTGATCTTCAGCTGTTGCAGTTTCCTCATCATCACGCACAAATAAATGCACACCCGAACAGCTCAAACATCTGTTGAAACAACAACCATCGACGTACACTATTATGAAAAATGAAGGAACCAACTTTTCATTATGTTGACAAGTTTTTGGATTTCCAGATGGAAAATCAGAAAACACTGGTGAAATTGAAAGAATTGAAGGTTTTACAAGTTGTTGTTTATGTTATCAAACATTTACTTTTACATCAACTACTGGTACTAGAAATGTACCTTCTCATTCGTGTGTTAAAAATTTATCAAATACAAAAATAACAACATATACAAAGACTGCATCATCTTCACCTCAAATTAAACGTGGTAGTATGACGAATAATTACAAACAGGTGAAATTAAATGAAAGAGAATTAAATACGATTAAAAATCTAATCTGTTCTTGGATATGTCATGATATGTGATCGTTTAGCACCATAAACTGTAGACTTTTTTTAAATTCTACTTTTTCGAAAATCGATCTTGAATAAGCTGAAGCATTTTTAAAATTTTATGGTTCATTTGACGAATTTCCAGCACCTCGAAAATGCTTCATTTTCCAATTTACAAAGATTCAATTTGATTTTCGAAAAAAAAAACATTTTTGATAAAATAAAATATCAACATTGATTTTCAAAAAACTCGAAAATCAATACCGATTTGGAAAAAATCGTTTGAACAGTGATCAATATTGAGTCATTGTTCATTCACGTATATAAGCCGGCCAATAATGCTATTCATTTATTTGTATTCTCCAGGAACTGACTAGTTAGTTGATAACTTGTTTTTTAAAGTTGCATGGTAAGTCAGTCCATTATTATGCATTTAAATTAAAATTATTTATTTTTTATTTGGTACATTTTTATGAATCAGATGTCTATAATATTATTTAAATTCAAATTTAAATTAATTGTCCATGTTATCTGATGTGTTTCTATGAATTAAATGTTTATTATAATATAATTCAATTCAAATTTAGATTATATTTATTCATATTATTTGCTGTATTTATATAAATCAAATGTATAAAATATTATTTAAATTTAAATTTAAATTGATGATCCATTTTAACTGATGCATTTTGATGAATCACAAGATTATAATATTATTTAAATTCAAATTTATTATTTATGTTGCTTGGTGCATTTATAAGTCAATTTATTTATAATTTTATTTTAATTTGAATTAAAATTATTTTTTATATTATTATACGATTTTTACGTTCATATGTGAAAATAAAACTCGATTTTCGAATTTTAAAAAAATACTCGAATTGATAAATAGAATCTGAAATTCCAGGAATGCCCATATGAATTCATTTGCGATTTTCTAATTAGAAAATCAAATTTCTTATTCTCAATTTTTGAAATATCTTATTTTCGAAAAAATGAAAATTCCTCCATGCTTTCATATGGGCATTCCTAGAACATCCTTGCGTAAACGCTATAACTTATTTTCTAGTTTACAGTGTATATGATAATCGTTTGAAAAATATTCTTCAAGAGTTAGTCATTCTAAGTAAATTCTTTTTTTCCATTATCGTATTGTTGATAATACTGTTCATTTATTCTTGTATCTGTCATCTAGGAGCAAGATATGGTGAATTCAATTTAAACAATACTTTACGTGGTGCTGATACAATATCCAACCATATATATAATTTAGCTGATGAATGTCGTATACAGTTAAATGAAATAATCCATGAACCATTGAGAAGTGGTGCAATTTATGTGAGTCCTGATCTTTGGTCAGATAATCACAGGAAGATTTCCTACTTGGGAATGATAGCAACATTTGTTGATGATAAATTCGGATACTATATTGTTGATTTATCATGTAAACCATTTATTGGGAATAATCAAGGAACAGAAAACTTGCTAATTGTAAGTGTAACCTATAGTTTTTTTTTGCAAAATTGTATATTCTTCGAGGTCTTTTTTGTTCCAAAAACTGGTATGTCAGTCGAAAACTTTCAAATATTTTGTGTTAAATCAAGTATTCTTTAATGAAAACTGAGTTACAATTGCCTTGCTACAATCTGACTCGAATTAGCTTTTTCCGATTAAATATGATCAATCTATTCAATATTATTCAGATCATTCAGTCGGTAGGATAGATTATTAATCAACTGACCGTTTGAGATAGACGATGAGCTATAAAAAGATTTATGACTAGGTAACCCTAATGCCATTTCAATCGGTGTTTATTTAGGATTCAATGCCTCAAAAAAGTTTTCTGATGTCGTTGTATCTATTTAATGCTTGCGTTACTAGAGCAACAACGAAAGATGGTACTTCATCATAAGTGAAACGTTCATCATAGTAGAGAAGAGAAAAAAAAACTTGTATCATTTCATCAGTCTTACTCTTTGCAATTTTGTGATCGTCTTATATAAGATTTCATATTTTTTAGGCTATTCGAAAAAGATATTAGAACCGTTTGGCTTTTATGATTTAACAAAAATTAGTTTTATGTCTGACAGAGGTGTAAACCTAATAAAAGCTTTTGAAGATTATGAAGTACTTAATTGTTTTCCACATCCTCTTAATAATGCCTTAATGAGAGCATTTTTTCAAACAAATATTAGTCGACCAGCAAAAAATTTGTCAACAACTGCTCAAACAATGGTATCATTAGTTTTACGTCGTGATAAAGATGATAATTATTATTCATGCTCGTCAACAGATAAAGAAGAAGAAATAATTAAACCAACAAAACGAATTAAAAATAAAAAAACAAAAAGAATCAATCACTGACTACAGTTGGAAATGATCCCATGAAATTGGAATTAAAAGATTTACCAATAAAAAAGCTCAAGAACTAATTGAAATAATTAAGCAATGCAAAAAACTTGTACAGTACATTAAAAAGATATTTTATTTTTATTTATTTAAAATGACTTAAAGCATTCATCTACAATACAGATCTTAATACTACTTCAGTAGATAAACCTAAATAATATTAATCTTTCAATAAATCAAGACTAATCCATTAGCATTTTTTTTTTATTTTCTTGTTTAAAATGATCTCAATAAAGATATACAAGCTAATGGTGGTGTTTCTTTGAAGCAGTCAACCATTATAAGATGGTTATCTTTAATAGATTTATTAAAAAGTTTAGGTAAATCTTATAAGCAAACAAAAAAAGTATTAATCAATCAATGACAACAAGAAAAACTTAAAAATGTTGATGAATATGTGTTGAAACGATTAATTTGTTTACTTCAACCATTTAAACAAGTGCTTCAACTTGTTCAACAAGATGATAGTCCATCGTTGTATATGATTCTTCCATGTGTATTAAGTTTAAAGAAAGCATTATCATCATTTGATGAAGTACTAAAACATCAGATGTCAAAAATCACCAACAGTAATGAAGAAGATAATGACAAAAATACTGATGAAGAATCAGAATTATTAACCGAATCATAAGATAAAAAAAACTCTCTTTTCTTTTGCTTTATAAAATCTTATACTATTCTTTGCTCGTTTTCGGTCTTCGAATAATTCGTTTACATTTATTAGATCTTTTGAATGTCGTGTTCGAATTAGATTTATTTCATTATACTGCTACTTTATTCCATCATGCGCTATCGTCAATGAAAGGGTTGTTCAAATGCTGAACGTGAACAAGTTTATACTTATGTTCGGGAAGAAATGAAACGAATTATTAGTCAATCAAAACAACATCAACAAGATGTTTTGTTACCAGAAACTAAAGAACATAAAGTTTACCATTCTATTTTAGAAGAATATGAAGACGATGATGATATTAATTTAGCAACAACTGAAGATAATACCTCAGGTAACGAAACTTTTGCCTATAAATCCCTACCATCTGATAAATTAACAAGGTATTTGACAATGAACATCAATGAATCAACATTGTCTTCGAATTCACTTGATTTTTGGAAAGAATATCAAGCACTTTGTCCTATTTTATCAACATTGACCAGGCGAATAAACTGCACACCTGCCTATTCAGCAGCTGTTGAACGATATTTTTGTTCTATCGATTATACTATGAATGAACGTAGAACAAATTTACATCCTGATCAAATTGACAATATAGTACTAAGACATTCAATGGAAAATTTGAAAAAAAAAGTGATTTTTGATATTATCTTTTTTTAATATAGTCACTTACTTCCATTATTTTTTATTTTTGATATATTGCGTGTTAGTGTTAACAACTTAGTGAGAAAAATGCTATTGTTATTGTTATTCAACTTTTCATTGATTTTTTTATAAATTATGCTTATATCAAAGGAACTGTTCTCTTTTTTTTATGTTTTACTGTTGTTTATAGAAGCTTTTTGTTATTATTCATAATATGAAATACATTGTGATTTAATATATGAAATGAAACAATAATTAACAACGATAATTAATTTTGATTAGCCTAACAAGCAAAACTATTTTGAAGCAAAATATCTAACTAGATAAGTCACCCATGGGTATCCATCGATCATCTGCTACAGGCATGGGCTGAGCTAAGTCATTTCTGAAGAAAAAAAACCATGGATAGATTAAGCCAAAGTTCGAAAACCCATGGGTCAGCTTTTTTACGCCAAGCCCAGCCCATTCCGATCTTCAATAGTCAACTGCAACCATTCTATTGTGCACATCTTTACAAATATTTTTCTTTTGTTTTATTTTATTCTTAACTAGCTCGTATTTTGTTGCTTGTTATAGTAGATCTGTCGACTGAAGAAAAATAAAGCTTATACACAAAAGAAAAAACTGAGAGAGAATAAATTGTAGACCATTTAGATAAGAGTAAGAAGCACATATTTATGAATATTTGATTCGCTCTCTCACAAGCTGCTTGAATAATGTATCTCAAAATAAGCACAACAATAATTATGATCTAGATAATTGCAATCATTG